CCCCTTGGCTATTTCTCCCAAAGCTGTATGCAGCCTTTTACTTACCCCTTTTGCTTCTGTCCAGAAGTCCTAATGCTCTGTGGCAGATCTCTGTGCTGTGCTGGTCACTGTCAGGCTGTAGTAGACTTGTGACCATCTGGGGTCAGTCATTGCTGAGCAATGCTTGCAGAGTATCAAGTCTTTGTGTTTCTCACTCTCCTCTTCTGGGTCATTTGGGAGTGGGCAAGAGGCAGGGAAGGGACAGATCTGGGACATGTTGCTGGACCTTGTACTAACAAACCACGGGGGATGGGTTGAAGATGTGAAGTTTGGGGGCAGCCTTGGCTGTAGTAACCATGAGATGCTGGAACTCAGGATCCTGCATGGAGGAAGCAAAGCCTTAGGAAGGACTAGATTCCTAAACTATTGGAGAGCTAACTGTGGCCTCTTGAAAGACCTACTTAAAGGAAAGCCATGGGATAGGGCTTTAGAAGAGAAGGGCTACTACAAGTACAGCAGCATTAAAAGGGAGATTGGGGAGAATGTTGGCTCACTGCTGAATTAGAAGGATGTTCTGGTAATGGAAGACACAGAGAAGGCAGAATTTCTGAAAGCCTTCTTTTCCTCAGACTTTACTGCTGGGAATGGCCCTTGGGAGTCCCAGAACTGGGAGGTGAGAGAAGGCTGGAGAAAATAAGGCTTCCCCTTGGTCTTAGAGGGTGTTGAGATGCACTTATTAAAATTATTAGCAATGCCTCTGCCCAAATTAAGATGCTAACAAGACTGTGAGGGGAGGGTCTGTAGTGATGCAGGGTCCCCAGGCAGGTGCAAAGGAGAGCCCTTTATTCCAAGGACTTTTTAAGCAGTTAGACGGTCATCAGCTACATGGTTTTTAATCATATCAAACATAATTCAACTAACCACTATACACCACGATGTGAACATGCAATGGGTACATAACTTGTGTTTCTACTTGTATTCAGCTGTGTCACTTTCCCACAGTCCTTTTCTGCTTAGCCAAAGTAACACACCTGAGCTGTGATTTTACAAGACCTTCCCTTTGTAAGGTTTGACCTATACACAACATGAGACCATATGCTAAAGTCAGTAGTAAAGGGTTTTATTTGATAGTAAATGTGAGAGAGAAAGAGAAAGAAAGAAATAGAAAAGAGGGGAGTAAGAAAGAGAGTGACCGAGACAGAATAAAGAAGATATCACTATCCGTGATCACAACAATGTTCCATTGATCCTCTCCAGCTGGTCGTCTTGGTTATGAAGGTGCCCCCAAAAAGCATAGAATCCATGGGTTAATATACCCTCAGGCTAGGTAGGAAAACCCAGCTGTCTCCCTGAGGGATGGGGCGGGAGGGGGGGGAGGGTTTGCCATTGTCTCTTACAGCAGTCTCTGGATTTGGTGCATTACCCTGGGGACCACTTTGGGGTGTCTTTGAGGGATTAAGGCACCCCCTCAGCTGCCTCTCACTTGAAGATCCTTTGGATATGGCCTGTGGGGTTGGGGGTTCCATAGCTTGTGTAAGGGAGAACGGTTTGTTGCTTCTGACCAGAGATTACCCCCAAACCTCCTTTCCCCATGTTTCAGGGGGGAATCTGTGTAAACCTGGCTTCTGTGGGCTGCAATCTCCCCCACCCCAAACCCAGCCAGGGAAGAATCTCAGTGCTGCTGCAGGGTTTGACTTTTTTTCCTTGTTTACTTCTCCCTGGGTCTCAGATGAGTGATGAATGAGTTTCCCTTTGTCTAATCTCAGCACTGTTTTTCAGTCCATAGTTCCAGTCAGGCAGTTTTTAGGGAGGGGTGGGCTTCAATGGCTTCTTTGTATAGTTTTGCTATAATGAGGAAGACTTTATATTAATGTTTGAGGCATGAACGTTTTCAGTCTCTGACGTCTACTCCATGACTCAGTGTAATAAATGGTTCTTTTCCTGCTACCTTCTTCAGTTTATGGGGTGTCTACGCCGTTGATTAATAAGGATAAGAAGAAGATAAGAGAAAAGATAGAAAGAGCTGAAGAAATAACATGAGTAATCATACAGAAATAGTATCCAATAGTTCAAAATGTAAATTCAATTGTAACCTTTAAGGCATTTCTCATTAGTCAGTGCCCTTACCCCATGAAAAGGGCACTGACTAATGATTCCTAGGAACCAGTGGATTTTTTTATGGGTAGTGAGTGTGAGGGGTATCACAATACTGTATCTCTTAGGTGTTGGTTCAACAGGTTTTGAAATAGTTATGGAATTTTACAGCAGGCCTAATTTTTATATTCCATAGAGGGGTATCCTCAACAGATACATGTATTAACGTGAGTCAATCAGCCGAGTTTCAAGAGGGGTCCCAGCTCTTGTAGTATAATTGATTAATTTCACACCCTGGAATAAATAGGAATGGATTTGTTGAGGATGTGTGTTTTCTTCTTGATGGCACTCACATATAGTTAGAAGAGTTTTATAGGTAATATTCTTACTCAGCTGGATAATTCTATACGTTATGAAAATTAGCTTTTATGATACAAAATTAACATACAAAACATTTTCATTCAAAAGGTTCTCATGCAAACATATTTTTACATAAAGACTATGCTCTGTTTTCCAGGAGACAGATTACACTGTTGTAATTTAATCTTGACACCAAATAGAAACTGTGGCTTTATTATCAGTGTCATTAAAAAATAAATAAATTCCCTTTCAAACTTAGTTGTATTATCCTAAGTAGATTTTTTTCCTTAGAATTTTAGTGAGCAAATTACCCTCATCACATTCTGCACCCACAACTGGAAAGCATGTGTATTGCAGAATGTGTTACAGTCACCACATGAATTACCAAAAATAGAAGTGGTGAGGAAAAGTTAAAATATTCTCTTAGGACATGTGACAGGAAATTCAACAGCACATTGCCTTGAGGGCTGGTGGAAGACTTTTCTGTACTTTATTTATGTTCTATTTGCAGTCCATGGCTTTCCCTCCTGGTTTAGGAAGGGGGATTCAATAATTTCTCATATAACATTTGCTTGTGTTTTGTTAAGATTCTTTAGTTCACTAATTAGTAACTCAGAAAAGTTTAGCCAAATCCTAAAAATTCTAAAGCCTTCTGAGGCAGAGCTGGGAAGGTTTCTTTTCACAATGCTTCAAACAAATAGATGGAGGTTTAAACACTTGTTCATATTTATTGATATTAAGAGCAAATCAAATTGAATTCTTACTTTAAAGACACAGTATTTTAAATCATATTCCTAAGATCATAAAATATTACTGGGCTATTTCATAATGATCAGAGGGTTGGAGCACCTCACCTATGAAGACAGACTCAGAGAGCTGGGGTTATTCGGCCTGTAGAAAGAAGGCCCTAGGAAGATCATATAGCAGCCTGTCAGTACCTACAGGCCCCTATAAGAAAGATGGAGAGGGACTTTTTAGAAGGTCATGTGGTGATAGGATAAGGAGGAATGGCTTTAAACTGAAAGAGAATAGTATTAGGAAGAAATTCTTTACAGGTTGCCCAGAGAATTTGTTGATACTCCGTCCCTGGAAGTAATAAAGGTCAGGCTGTATGGGGTGTTGAGCAACCTATTCCAGTGTAATATGCACTGCCCTTGGCAGGGGGCCTGAATGTAAGGCATCTTTAAGGTCCCTTACAATGCAAACAATCCTATGAATCTATGGTTTGTTAAAACATAACTTCAGTTTATTATTTGCTAACTGGAAGATGATGGAAAATACTCTTGTCCTTGCTGACTTCAAGAAATTTACAACTACAAGGAAGTGGTTTTGAACTTTAGTCAGGTCACTGATTAATCACATTTGCATTTTCCCCATGACATAGGATGTGTATTTCAATAAGAAACCACACAGAATCCTACATAAATGACTTCCACAGACTCAGTTTATATCTTCACCCCACTGGGATGATACAAGGTAAGAGTTACACAGATCATAGGATAGCTCTAGAGATGCCAAAGATATGTTCTATGTTGTGCTTGAAGGGTCCTTAATTTTCCATTATTTGCTATTTAAATGCTAACTTGGGAAAAATGCTTAAAAGTACCTGTGTGATATAAGTATTTAATTGGGATTTGTTAAGTATTTAATTGTAATTTGCTTTAGTTTAGCAGTCACCTTAAAATATGAAATTATAAAATCATAAAATTCATAGACAATTTTGAAACAATGGAAAGGAAAAAATGCTTGTGTCAATTTTGAATTTACATTATTAGTAAAAAAGAATTTACTCAGAAAAAGTCAGATTCTCATCTACTTATTTTTGCTAGGTGGCTTTTTAACTTCTTCTGTCGTAGCTAATGGAACTAAGAAGTAAATTTTTCAAAGTATGAATCTGAGCAGTTATTCCTAATTTCACCTTTCAAAGCAAACCCCCAAGAAATATTAACTCTGAGTAAGGTGTGGGGCTGTGAAACAGCCTCATCTCTGCTTCACTACTGTCAGTCAGTGACTGAGAAAAGCTCTTTGGGACCTGCTGTGCTATCCTGGCATGGAAAGCTCTCCCCACTGCCAAGAATCCCTCACAAAACCTTTCCAGAGGAGTCTTCTCCTCTTTGTGGGTGGAAGGAAGTCCAAGAGGACTGTAGGGATTAGAGCAGGGCTTCCTAGTGAGTTCTAATTAGGTCAATTGAATTGATTTTCTTCTGACAAGTTCCTTTCTCAGAATCAAGGAAAAAGAAATCATCTGTCAATTCTATCCTGGGGTATTTAATTTGACCCCAAAGAGAATGCTTGTCTTTGCCATCTAATTTGTTGAAAAGATTCACCATTTGTTAGCAGAGGTTAAACAGTAGAAAGGAAGTGTGTTCATGAGAGAGTTTGGGGAATTAAGTGGGGAATTCCCTCTGGAAGTAGAGACAAGAGGAAGAATATAGTACAGCGCTGTTGTGGGAAGTGTCATTTGTCATCACAACCAGCAGTAGATCATTCCAGATTAAGTAAGTTTTAAACAAGTTTATGTGTTTGTGGGAAGTTCATGCTTTAATCTAATATTTATTCAATGGTAAATGCATAATTGCAGGACTGGACTGAGAGTGCTTCTGTCTTGTGCAGCCCCGGAGATGGAGATCGAGACTGCAGATGAAGTTGCTATTGTTGGAATAGCATGCAACTTTCCTGGAGGTAACTTTGGGGTAAAAGCAAAGCAGGCTGAGAGTGAACATTGAAAAGCAGAGAGTTTTATTAATGTTGAAATGGAGGAAACCAACAGTTGTTGGTTTGTCCCTTAGTTGGATTGTTGCTTTGCTGCTTGTGGGGTCTTTTTGAAAGGTGGTGGAAACGGATTAGTTTAAATTTGTCTGCTGACAGACAGAGAGACAAAAGAAGCTGAAGTGCTGGCTGTGGGCAGGGCATTGAGGTGCACATGAAACTCATACAAATGAGCAGGATAGGTCTGGGATGATTTGAACTTTCTGTGTGTTCACTGGGTGGGTGATTGTGTAGTGTTACAGAACGCTGCAGAATCCATAGGAACAGGGCAGATGAAGGGCTGGACATTCTTATCAGCCATGCCTGTAATATGAACAGATTGGGTTTTCCTAAAAGAAAGCTTCTTGCTTTATTACAGTAGGTGGAGTAGATGCACTGAGATGGCAGAGAGAAGGTGGTTAAGGATTTTGTGGGGTTCCTTTGCTTTTAGACAAGCAGTGAGAGAATCAGTCATACTTTTTCATTTTCCTCTCACTAAAGAATGATCACTTCTTTCTGTGGCAAGCCTGCTTGAGCAGCCTAGATTGACAGGTGGGAGGTCCTTGTTGCTGATTGTGCATTTCTGAGTCTGCATGGGGAGGGGGAGCATATCATTTAATCTGTTTGAAAAACTTTGTACAACAGGAGATGGAATTGACAATTTCTGGAAGGTCCTGGTGGAAGGCAAAAACTGCACCGTAGAAATCCCCCCCGAGAGGTTTAATACCAAGGAGTGGTATGATGCAGATGGTAACAAGCCAGGAAAAATATGTACAACACGAGCTGCTCTTCTGGATGAGTGAGTCTGTTACCCTGCTGCACCACTGACTTTTGTAGTACTTTGACTATGGGCACAGTTGCTCAGGGGCTGTGATAGGGTGAAGAATAGCAAATTACAGTAAGGTTAAAATAAGTGTCTTTTATTTGAATTGCACATTCACCTAAAATCCTCAGGGTGTAGAGCTTCATTCAAAGGAGAAGTTGACATGCACAGAAGAAATCTTATTGTCTCCTGAAATTTATACTTGGCAGGGTTGAACCATAGAATCCAGAAATACTTTAATGCTTAGTCCCATGTTAGATATTGAATCCTGCTCTGAAATCAAGAAATGATAGAAGGCCATATAAATCTGATCTTGGGATACAAGATTAAAGTTGGACTTGGTCTTTTGTAAGCATGGGCCTGTTTTGAAGATGCTTTTAAATATAAATACACACAAAGTATTTTTGAATGTATTTTTAGAGAAGCATGGGTATCTGTTGAAAACAGACCTGAGCTGATCCTCTACTTTTTGGTTTTAAATTTAGAGCATTGGTCTGTATTTGCTGAAAATAATCTGAAAAAACCCCACGAAAATAAAACTAGAAAACCAGGTTTTGTGGTGGATTCTTTGCAGTGAGGAGAGATTTTCATTTTGTTTATAACTTGTTGAAGCTCTGACCACATTACTGCAGAGGGAGTCTCATTCTGCACATTTCATAGTTTGAGGAATGCAGTTGGTAGCCGTGCAATAACCATGAGAATAGAAATGGGTAGGAGTGGGCTCTTAACTCTGAAATGCAGAAGCATTGATAAAATGAAGCATCTTTGGCTTATAAACATTTTCTTCTGAATTTCATAAATGGGAACTGTGGCCAAAACACCAGTTACTGCCTGGCTTTTCATGAAGTTGCAAAAGATGTTTACTGTGGGTCTAGAAGTAAATGGATCTTATATACATCTGTCATATTTTATTCTGGTTGGTGTATTTCAGATTTAATTCATTTGACAACCACCTGTTTGGGATTAATAATATGGAAGCAGAACGCATGGATCCACAACAGAAATTACTGATGGAGTGCACATACAAAGCCCTGGAGGATGCAGGAGTCCCTGTGGAATCTATCAGTGGCTCCAAAACAGGTGTTTTTATTGGTAAGATGAAAATTTCATGTCAAAGAAAGTGTGTTTGAAGCTCACAAGGATTGGAGCAATCCTTCATAACCTTTCAATATGTTATCTAGCACTGGATCTAGACTGGAGATCTAAAGCTACTGTGCTATGGCACTAGTGGTTACTTTTGGTAAGAATTACCAGGCTACTCTAGAAGTTCACGGTACAATTCCTGTATCTCTTTTTGGTGCTCTTCTTCCTGTGTTCAGGCACTGAAGGGAAGCAGGAAACTGCATCTGCAGCCCAAGCCTTCTTAGAAAAGATACTCCCAAGCCAGGCTGTGATGTTCCACCCTTAAGGGGAAGGGAACATGCAAGCTGTGTAATTGCTTGGGTCTGCAAAAAAGCACGAAGATTTAATAGTACATTACACACTTGGCATGGAAATTGGAATGTTAGTCCCTGACCTGCTACATCAGCACATGGCAGTGGGATGTGGATGAAGAGGTGAGGTGGAAGGAAAAAAACAAAGGAACAGAATTAAAGAAGGGAAGAGAGAAAGAGGGAAAGAAAGAGCGAAAAAGAGAATGAAAGCAGGGAAAAGAGAGAAAAAGAGAGAAAAAGAGAGAAAAAGAGAGAAAAAGAGAGAAGAAAAGAAAAAGAGAGAGAAAGAGATCACCAGTCCTTCTTCCAGTGTTGGTCTGGCAAATGAGATGTCCAGGGTCTTCGAGGATCCCGCAGATTTGTTGGGGGTACCTTTTTATAGATACATTTCCTTGCCCTGATGACGGGTTGCTCTCTTTCTATACAAATTATCATGTCCAGTTCCTTCTTTCAGACCTTTTTGGAAATGCATCAGAGGCTTTGGGGTTCTTGGGTGGTCTCAATGCCCTCCCTCCCCAGCTTGACCTTGGGTCAATATTTCATTCCTGCTTCTGTCCTGGTGCTGCCCATTGTTTGTTGATGGGGGTAGAGTGGTAGGAAAGCGCCCAGCAGAAAAGGACCTGGTGGTGCTGGTGGTCAGCAGCTGAACATGAGCCAGTGTGTGCCCAGGTGGCCAAGAAGGCCAGTGGCATCCTGGCCTGTGTCAGCAATAGTGTCACCACAGGAGCAGGGCAGTGATTCTTCCAACTGTGTATGGCACTGGTGAGGCCACATGGTCGAGTTCTGTGTCCACTTCTGGGCCCCTCAGTTCAGGAAGGAGGTTGAGGTGCTGGAGTAAGTCCAGAGAAAGGCATCAGAGCTGGGGAAGGGTGTGGAGCACAAGTCCTGTGAGGAACAGCTGAGGGAGCTGGGGGTGTATAGCCTGAGAAGAGGAGGCTCAGGGGTGATTTTATTGCTCTCTACAAATGCTTGAAAGGAGGGTGTAGTGATATGGGGATCAACCTCTTTCACAGGCAGCTGGAGACAGGATGAGAGGATATGGCCTCAGGCTGTGCCAGGGGAGGTTTAGAGTGGACATTATGGAGAAATTCTTCACAGAAAGGGGTGATTTGATATAGGAATCAGCTGCCCAGGGAGGCGGTGGAGTCACTATCCCTAGAAGTGTTTGAGAAAAGACTGGATGTGTCTTTTAGTGCCATGGTCTTGTCGGCATGGTGGTGTTTCACCATGCAGCGGACTTGATTTCAGGGGTCTTTTCCAACCTAGATGATTCTGTAATTCTGTGATTGTGTCTCTGTGGAGCAGAACAAGGATGTTTGTCCCAGAGAAGTGCTGCCCTACCTCCTCATGGTCCCATCTCATTGTGGTTTTTTTAACAATTCTTGCTTATTGCTGACCAATTCTTGGTTATTGCCTTGGTTGGCTCCCTGGCTATCCGGCAATCGGTGTTTGACACGTACACATTAGCCCCTTATCTTCTGGGCTTCTACACAGGCCTACACTTTCCCCCCAATATGCTGTTTTCCAGGATAATTTTGGTTAAGGTGTTCTGGGGATTACTATCCTTTTAAAGCAGCAGAAATCCTCCTGTGGACATTAGAATGGTACCAAGGTGCACTTGTCCAACTGCCTTTGTTACTCCCCAAAAAGTTACAGACAAGATGATACCAGATGCTGTTGAAAGATATTTAAAGGACAATAATAGAGTATCAGCACATTATTGCTGGTGTAATCTGTGTCTCTTTAAAAAGGAGTTTTCTGGGGAGTTTGCTTGATGCACCTATAGGGGAAATGTTTTAGATTATTTTAGTCAGAGAGATGCTCTTCTTCCATTGAAGGCACTATTCCTTGCTCTCTGAATAGAGCTACTGTGCTCTCCACATGTGCTTATGGACTTGGGGATCCACCATATTTCAAACGTTGCATTCTCAGAAAGAGGACACAACTGGTCTCACAGGCCCTGCTCTTCTTTACTATTTCTTATTGGTTGCAAGTGTGAAAAAAAAGATAAACACAAAGTATTGGATGTAGTTTGTGCTGGGTACATGTGAGAAAATGAAGCTAATGTCTTGTACATTTATGTCTGAACTACCATCTTTGTAGCTTGTTGATAAATCTTGTCATAGCTAAACTAAAACAATCTGAGTCACAAAAGTGACACAGATGTCTAAGCAGACTCCAGAGATCTTAGCTGCATGATAGAGTGAGCTGAGCCATCAGAAAGGGCATTTCCTGGGCAGGTAGGAATTTCCTGTCATTTCTTGGGCAGGTAGGAATTTACACTGTTAGGTATGTGTGTGTAGGTTGGGTCCAGGGGAAATTGCGGTGACTTTTCCCTTTGACTTGTGTTGGAGCAAAGCTTCATGACAGGAGAACTGATGCCATAGGGTTTCATCTAAACACTGAAAACGAAATCACACCACCAGGTTTTGAGCTGTACATGCCTATTGTTGTCTTGGGTTAATTTGACATGTATCTGATGTTTTCCAGGCCTCATGAATCGAGACTATGAAATCATGGCCAGCAGAGCTGTGAATGAAATAAATCATTATGATGGTACTGGAACAGCAATGAGCATTGCTGCCAACAGGGTCTCTTTCACATTTAATCTGACTGGACCATCTCTGACTGTCGACACTGCGTGTTCGTCTTTTCTTTTTGCTCTGCACTATGCCTTGCGAGCCATTAAATCAGGTAATGGGACTGAAGAGGTGCTGGACAACAAAGTCAGAATTCCTAAAATTTCTGTCTATCACCAGGGCCATCTCAACATGAATATGTTTCTGTTTGACTCCAGGAGACTGTGAGGCAGCAATCTGTGGTGGGGTGAACTGCATCATTCACCCCCGCACCTTTGTATCTCTCACTAAAGCCAAAATGATCTCTCCAGAGGGCATAAGCAAACCCTTCTCCAAAAAAGCAGATGGCTATGGAAGGGGAGAAGGCTGTGGTGTTGTTTTCCTCAAACCACTGAAAAAGGTAAGATTTTTTGTGAAGCAGCCTGAAGTAAGACTGGTTGCTTGTCTGAATTTTGTGTCTTCAGCTCTAATAATGACTATTCCAGAGAAGTTCTTCCAATCTAAGTTTAAGATTAATGAAGCATGTCTTTTGAATTTATCAACTTTCCCTAACATAGGGAAAGGAACTCACATTTAGAAGTTAGCATAATATTCTGGTTGTTCTTGTCTTTGTTGTGTTGTTTTGTTCTCTTCTCTACAGAAAAAGCATGAGATTAGCATAGAATCACTCAGGTTGGAAGGGGCCACAGTGGATTTTCTGGTCCAAACTCCTTGCTCAAGCTGGGTTGTCTTAGATCAAGTTGTACAGTATTGTGTCCTGATGATTCTTGACACATTCTGTCTCCAGTGAGGGAGAATCCAATCCCTCTCTGAGCAACCTGTTCTTTTGCTTGGTCACTTGAACAGTGACAAATTTCTTCCTCATTTTCAGGAGGGACTTCCAGTGCTTCAGTTTCAGACCATTGCCTCTTGTCCTGTTACTTGGCACCACCAAGGGCCTGGTTCCACCTTCTTGACACCTCTTAAGATACTTACAGACACTGATGAGGCCCCTTCCCAGTCCTCTCTTCTCAAGGCTGAACAGGCCCAGCTCCCTCAGCCTTTCCTCATAAGAGAGGTGCTCCTGCTCCTTCATCATCTTCATAGCTCTCCTCTGGACCCACTCCATTAGCTCCATGTCTTTCTTGTACTGAGGAACCCAGAACTGGACACAGCATTCCTGTTTTGGGCTCACCAGGGCTGAGTAGAGGGGCAGGATCACCTCCCTCAACTGTTGGCAATGCTTTTTCTAATACAACTGAGGATCCCATCAGCCTCCTTGGACCCCCACTGCTGGCTCATGGACAACTTGTTGTCCTCCAGGACCCCCAGGTCCTTCTCCACAGTGCTGCTTTCCAGCAGGTTGACCCCCAACCTGTCCTGGTGCAGGGGGTTATTCCTCCCCTGGTACAGGACCCTGCACTTGCCCTTGTTGAATTTCAGACAGTTCTTCTCTGTCCATCTCTCCAACATGTTGAGGTCCCTCTGAAGGGTTGCCCAGCCCTCTGGGGCATGGGCCACTCCTGCCAGCTTTGTGTTGATAGTGAACTTGCTGAGGAGGCTCTGCCTCTTCATCCAAGCCTTGATGAATAAACTAAACAATATGGGCCCAGGGGATACCACTAGTGACACGTCTCCAACTGGACCTTGTGCCACTGCTTATCACCCTCTGGGACCTGCCATTCAGTCTGTTCTCAATCCACGTCTCTGTCCACTCATGCAGTCCACACTTCCTGAGGACACTGTGAGAGACAAAAGCCTCGATAAAGTTGAAGTAGACAATATCCACTGCTCTCCCCTCATTCATCCAGGTGGTGGTTTCATCATAGAAATCAATCAGGTTGATCAAACATGATTTACCTCCAAGGAATCCATGACCACTCCTGATCACCTTATCTTCCTTGTAGACAGAGATGGCCTCCAGAATGAGGTGGTCCACCACTTTTCCAGGAATTGAGGAGAGACTGACTGATTGGTAGTTCATTGGTCCTTCTTCTTGCCATTTTTGAAGATTGGGGTCCCTCTTGCCAATTTTGAAGATTGGCTCTCCCAGTCCTCAGGCATGTCTTATGATTGCCTTTCAAAGATGATTTTGAGCAGCCTTGCTATGTTGTCCTCCTGCTCTCTCAGACCTCATGGATGCATCCTGTCAGAGCCCCTGGACTTGTGGATGTCAAGTTCATTTAGGGGTTCTCTGACCCATTCCTACTTGGGCAAGGGAAAGTCTTCCTTTCAGCATTCCTTTAATCTGGTCTCCTGGGTCAGAAATCCCTGAGGGCTGGTCTTGTCAGTAAAGATAGGTGCAAAGAAGGCATTCAATAACACAGCCTTCTCTGCGTCCCCCTGTTACCAGGCTCCCCCCTCCATTTGCTAATGGATCCAGGAGTCCTTTGGTGTTAAAATTAATCCTTAATTTTCCTTTTGTTATGATGGATTTGAAAAAGCCCTTTTTGTTATCCTGAAAATCTTTGGCCAGATTTCATTCCAGATGTGCCTTGGCCTTTCTAGTCTCATTTCTGCTTACTCTGACAACCTCTCTGCATTCACTCTGAGTGGCCTGATCCTGCTTCCATCTCCTATATGTTTCTGGCTTACATCTGAGTAATGATAGGACTTCTTTATTCATCCACAGAGGTTTGTTGCCTGCTTTACCTGCTTTCTCTCTTATTGGGATGCACTATCTTTGAACCTGTAGGAAGTGAGCCTAGAATGTCGACCAACTCTCTTGGACCCCTCTTCCCTTCAGGGTCTTCTCCCATGGAATTCTTCCAAGATCCCTAAAGATGTTAAAGTTAGCCCTCCTGGAGTCCTGGAGTTTGAAATCTGTCTCTCTGTCCTGCTACCTCTTCCTTCAATACTGAACTCTACAGTCTCATGGTCTCTGCAGCCAAGGCTGCCCCAAGCGCTGCATGTCCAGCAAGGCCTTCCCTGTTAGTCTAAGGTCAGGCAGCCCAGCATTCCTTGTGGGATCCTTCACTACCTGGGACAGAAATTGTCATCAATGCTTTCCAGGAACCTCCTGCACTGCTTGTGCTTTGCGGTTTTGCTTCTCCAGAAGATGTCAGGGCAGTTAAAGCCCCCCAAGAACCAGGGCCTGTGACTGTGGGGCTGCTTCCAGCTGCCTGCAGAAGGCCTCATCCGCTCTCTCCTTCTGATCGGGCGGCCTGTGGTGAACACCCACAATGGTGTCACCCTTCCTAGCCCGCCCTTTTATCCTCACCAGGGCAGAGCTCAGCACACTCCAAGTGTTGCTTCACATCGAGTGCAGCTCCACCACTGCACTTTCCTGGTCTGTCTCTCCTAAACAGCCGGTGGCCCTTCATGACAACACTGCAGTCACGGGAGCTCTCCCACCATGTGTCCTTAACTGCAATGGAATCAAAGCCCGATGGCTGCACACAGATCTCTTGTTCCTCCTGTTTGTTCACCATACTCTGTGCATGGGGGTAGAGCACTTAATAGAAGTATTTTATGGTGACAATATTCCAGTGGGTGTGTGAAGGGATGTCCCATAGCCCTGTCTAGTGGTTGTGTCTTTGACTTTAGATGCTTGATCAACGTAATCCCTCGTAAGCCTTCTTTTGGTACTAAGGTGTTTCTCTGATATTTCCCTGTTGGCTTCTATTATCTCAGGAGCCCCTTGCTTGTCTCTGTAAGACTGCTGGTGTGCTCCAGTGTGGCTGGTACATCTCAGAGTCACCTCCAGAGGGGCCTCAGAAGTACCCTCTAACTTTTTCATACTATTACCCAGTTTGTTAGGGACAAACCTGATATTACTGCCCTCCCCCATCATAACTAGTTTAAAGCACTCCAAGGAGTCTTGCTTGTTCCCATGCAAAGACTCTCCTTCGTTACTCAGAGAGGTGAGCCCCATCTGATGCCAGCATGCCTGGCTCTGCAAAGGCCATATCATTGCCAAAAACCCCAAAATCTTGGTGGTGACACCAGCTGCAGAGACATGTCTTAGTAGACTCAGTCTGTCTGTTTCTTTCTATATGGATCCTTTCAACTATTATTGTTTTCAGTATTTTTAGTTCAATATTGCTTCTTTGAACTGGAAGTATGGAGGAGAGAAAAACATTTGCCTCAGATTTCCTTAGCAAATATCCCAAACCCAAAACATTTCTTGATCTCTCTCAGACTATGTGCTGCCATGTTACCTCACCCCCTACATGGAGGATAAGGCACGGGCTTGCACCAGGCTTGTAAGGTTCATGGTAACACCATTAACCAGAGACTACTAGTATTATTAAAGAAAACTACACTTTTTCATGGAACAGGCAAAGGAAGACTACAACAAAATCTGGGGCGTGATAAACATCAGTGCAGTCAATCAGAATGGCAAGTCTATAACTCCAATCACGAGACCGTCTCAAATAGAGCAAGAGAAGTTACTGCATAGCATTTATGGAAGTCGTGTTGATCCCTCAGTTGTGCAGTACATTGAAGCCCATGGCACAGGAACTGCTGCTGGAGATCCTACAGAAGCTGAAAGCCTGGGTAATGTCATTAGCAAAAAGAGGTCTTCCCAAGTTTCCATTCTGAAAATCGGTTCAGTGAAAGGAAATATTGGACACACTGAATCAGCTGCTGGAGCAGCCGGGTTAATCAAAGTGCTCCTGATGATGCATCATGGGAAGATTGTTCCATCCTTGCATTACTCAAAGGAGATGAGCAGCATCGATACGGAGAAATTAAACCTTGCTGTTGCCACAGCTGTAGAGCCCTGGGAAGAATCCAGTGAGTATGGAAGAGTAGCTGGCGTCAACTGCTTTGGATTTGGAGGAACCAATGCTCATGTTGTAGTCAGGCAGGTGAAGCAGCCAGAGCCTCTTCCTGCCTTTAAGAAGCCCCTGGAATTAGTTCTGCTGTCAGCAGCATCCCCTAAGTCCCTTCAGATGACAATGGCCGACACAGCTGAGCAGCTGAGCGCAAGGAACTCCGTAACTCTCCCAAGCCTGGCCTATACCTCTGCCTGCAGAAGAAGCCACGCCAGCTACAGGTACCGAAAAGCATTTGTCACAAATTCCCTCCAACACTTGCAGCAAGAGCTGAGGTTGGCAGCGAGCACGGAACCTGCCATATCCAAAGCGGAACCACAGCTGGTGTTTGTGTTCTGCGGCAACGGCGTCACGCTGAAGGAGTTCAGTGAGGCACTGCTGAGCTCAGAGCCGGTGTTCAGAGAGAAGTGTAAGGAAATAGAAGACCTTTTTCAGCAGCACGCTGCCATCAGCCTCCTGCCAGCAAGAAATCATAGCCCAAAGGACTTGTTGAATCCAGAGCTTTGTCAGCCCTTGCTGTTTGCCCTGCAGGTTGCTGTAGCTTCCCTCCTGAAGCACTGGGGTATCAAACCTGTTGCTGTTGTTGGCCACTCGGTGGGGGAAGTTGCTGCTGCACACATTGCTGGGTACCTGTCCCTGGCAGATGCTGTCAAAGTGATTTATCACCGGAGCAGGCTGCAGGCAAAGACTCCCAGCGGCAGAATGCTGGTGGTTGGAAACATCCCCGTTGAAGAGATTGCTGAACGCCTGCACCCCTACTCAGGAAAGGTGTGCATTGCTGCTTTCAACAGCCCCATTTCCTGCACCTTGTCTGGGAGCGTAGAGGCTGTGGAAGCTGTCCGGAGAGAGTTAGCTGAAGCTTTCAGACAGAGGAACATCTTTCTTCATGTTTTAAATGTTCCAGCTGCGTACCACAGCCCCAGCATGGATATGATACTCGGGGAGCTGGAGGAGCAGATAGAGCCTTTGGAAAAGCAGAAGGGGGAAATGGAAGTGATTTCAACACTGACTGGCGTGGCTGCATCTGAAAATGACTTTTCTCAGGGCAAATTCTGGGCACAGCATACTCGTGAGCCTGTTGCTTTCACACGAGCCATCCAAACTGCAGCCAGAGGCAGGGAAAACGTGGTGTTTGTGGAAATAAGTCCTCACCGAGCACTGCAGCGAAGCATAAAAGAAACGCTAGGGAAAGGCACAAAGGTCTTGTCCTCTTTGCAAACAGATGCAGAATATCAGACGCTCTTCACCCTGGTAGGAAATCTGTTTGAACTGGGATTTAATCCCAACTGGCAGCACTTTTATAATGGGTATCAAAGTGTTCCTGTGGCCATTCCACGATATCAATTTGATCGCCAAAAACTCATGAGCCTGGATATCCCTCAACATGCAAGCCGAAGCGGTGTCAGCGCCAGTCATTCTTTGATTTACGGCATAAACAGTGACAACTTGGAGTTTGGCTGCCTGGTGTCCCAGGAGACGACACCGTACTTATATGAGCACAAGAACAATGGGGTGGCCTTAGTCCCTGGTGCTTTCTATGTGGAGCTTGGTCTGGCCTCTGTGATGAGCAGCTCAGAACCCAAAGTGCCTCTGAGCACTTGCCAGCTGAGTATCAGTTTTTCTGCACCGTGTGTTCTTACACAGAATTCCCAAGTGCTGAGTATCAAGCTGAGTCCGCATAAAGCCATGACAACCTTTGAGGTTCTCTCTTCCTCCAACGCAGTTTATGCTGCTGGCCAAGTGGCCAAGGGGCTTGAAGGTGTGGTGGAAGAAAGCAGCATCTCCTTGCAAGCCATCTATCAAAGATGTAAGTCAGTGATTAGCAGAGAGGAGCTTTATGAAGCACTGTCTCAGGTTGGCTTTCAGTATGGCTCCATATTCAGGCAGCTCAGTGATGTGCATTATTGCCAGGAGCTAAAGGAAGCTATAACAAGCATAAAGGTGAATGAGGAGACCGCCAGAGACATGTACAGCTACTGTATCCACCCAGTGCTGCTCGACTGCTTTCTGCAGATGACTGCTGTCCTGACCTCAAGGACGCTCCACTCCAGAGCAGGCTTTCCTTCAGGGATAGGCAGCCTGGTGGTGCTCCGCCCGCTGCAGGAGGAAATGATGATATACATGAGAATGAGCAAATCCACTGGGAACTGCCTTGAGGTCTGTGGGTGCTTTGTGGACAAACACGGCTCTGTTTTGGCCGAGCTCAAGCGCGTTGCCATCACTTTCATGAGGGAATCGTCTTCCAGAGACAATGAGTTTCTGTTTCAAAACAAATGGAAAGAAGTCTCTCTTTCACAGACAATTGGACATCTGGGGTTTAAGCCCAGAGTCCTTGTGTTTGCAGACAAATTTGGGATAGCTGAGCAGCTCAAAAAACACTTGCATCCTGCTTCGACATATGTTATGTATGAAGGCTGGGATTGCCTCGTGGAAGGTGATGCACAGAACAAAATGAGAGCAGAGGTTAAGGATTACGATGAAATTCTCTTCCTCTGGGGAATCCAAAAGTTGAATGAAGATTCCTCGAGGAAAGCAGTAGATCAGTTGGCAAAGTGCTGCGAAGCCTATCGCCAGGTAGTGGTGGCACTAAGAGAGAAGAGGTCTCGCTGCTCCATCAGAGTGATCACCTACAGAACAACAGAGAGATATGTGGACCACATTAACTGTGGGTTTGCATTGTATGGCATGACCAGAGCCTGTATTGTTGAATTTCCAGAAATCACATTTCAGTTGATTGACCTCAGCTCCTCCACTTCCCTGGACATCTCAGTGTTAGCAGATGTTCTTATCAAGTACAAAGGTGGGGACTATCCAGAAGTCTGCATCAGCCAGGGAAGAATTTATGTGTCCGAAATCAGACGCACACCTTTTGTAGATGCAGATTACATCCAACCCGTAAGATCACTCCAGAAATCACAATCATTCACTTTGTACACTTCTGATCCCTACACAGCAAAAGACTTGTCTGGGGAATTATCCAGTGGCACTGCAACTCAGCTTGACAAACAGAGTGTTGAAATTCAAGTGGATAAAATTTGCTTGCACTCAGAAGATTATTTTCCCATTAGTGTTTCTAGCTGTAACTTTGGTAATACACTGTATTGGAACTCCCAGGCAGGGGACAGACACAGGCTTCTAGCACTTGATTTCAGTGGCACAGTCACTGCAACAGGCAGTGATGTGAAAAAAGTGAAAGTGGGAGATCACGTGGTTTCATGTTATCCCACTGCTGCATCATCCAGAGTTCAGATTCCAGGAACAGTTTGTTTCCATGCAAGGAAATTCCCATTCCTCCAGAATGTCCCTTGTGTGTCATACTTCATCATTGCATGGGAAATCTTCACTCAGAGGTTACCCAAAGGAAAACATGGCAGAACATTGGGTATTATTACTACAGAGCCATCCTCAGTTCTGTGCCACGTGCTTTCTGCAGCAGCAGAAGAGATGGGTTGGAGAACAGTCCTTGCAAAGCCCACTCCTTAGATGTGTCAATTTATCAACCGGTGCAGTGCCCTTATTATTCTTCCTCCAGTCAACAGACTGTCTCAGGAGGACCTGGCCCACATGTCCTTTCTTAAAGATGTGGTGATCGTGTGTGGCAGGCAACAGTCAGAATGCATCCAGAATGTCAGTGAAATTGATCATGAAAACGTCAGCTTTCATATCCTTGCCGTTGCCCGCCTTTTCCAGAAAGCACCTCTAAAGGAAGTGCAGAAGACCGTACATGCCTGGATCAGTTCCATGAATATGAAACGGCTTAGAAATCTTTCAGGTTCTGTTTTTCAGCAGACTGAGAATTTTGAAGGGCTAAATTCTGTGATGTCCTATTTCACCTGCACTTCTGTCCCCCTTGCTGTCCTGAGAAGGCAGAAGGACATCAGTGTGCTTTCAGATATCCCATTGTACGAGCCCCAGAAGCAGCTGTTCAAGCAGAATGCTGTTTATGTAGTAGTTGGGGGGCTCACTGGACTTGGCTTTGAAACAGTGAAATTCATAGCTGAGAACGGGGGAGGGTGTATTGCAATTCTGTCCAGGAGAATTCCCAGCAGTGAGAAGCAAGAAGAGTTAAGGGCTTTGCAGCAGCAGTACAAAGGGAGCAAAGTAGTGTCTGTGCAGTGTGATGTGACTTTGAGCAGCGATGTTGAGAAAGCTTTCCAGTCCATTGCCACCACCTTTGTGGGGAGTCCCATCAAAGGGGTGTTCCAAAGTGCTGTTGCTATACACGACGGCCACCTTGAAGTGCTGAAGCTGGCTGACTTCCACAAAGTGCTGAGCCCAAAAGTAGCAGGGACCCTAAATCTTCACTGGGCTACCAGAGACCAGGAGCTTGACTACTTTGTGTGCTACTCCTCTGTTGCTTCCTTTCTGGGCAATGCCACCCAGACAAACTATGCAGCTGCAAACTCTTTCCTGGATCTCTTCTGCCTCTACAGGAGGAACTGTGGGCTCTCAGGCCAGGCCATTAACTGGGGTGCTTTGAACCTCGGCATTCTGCTCAACCAAGACCTCATTCAGAGCATTCTGGAATCCAAGGGCGTAGACATTCTGCAAGTGCATGAAATTCATGACTATCTCAGGAAGACCTTACTTATAAACAACCCGCAGCAATCTGTTGCCAAATTGAACTTTCACACTTTGTATCATCATGTTTTTCGTCAGATTATTTCTCTCAAAAGTCGCTTTGTAACACTTATGTCAGAAGATTACATGAACAAGATGGAAACAGCTGAGGAAGCTGAAGTCCCTGAGACTGCCTTTCTCAAATCTGAGGACTACATCACCTCACTGGTGAGTGACCTCACAGGAGTGAATGCAGATGAACTAACCATGGATACGCCACTTTCGTCTTTGGGCATGGACTCTATGTTGGCCATGACAATTCAGAACCGTGTCTTTCGGGAGAGAAAGGTGGACATACCCGTTGTGAAACTGCTTGATCCTCACACAACTCTGTCAAGTTTAGTGGCGGTGTTCGAAGAAACAAGCGATGCAGATGGAACAGCTGGAAAGAAGAATGCTGTGATTGAAAGTGCAGAAAATGGGAGCTGGCTATAGGAATCTCCCCAGTCAGGAATTGTGTAACTTTGACAATACTCAGCCCTTTGCAGCATGTCAGAATGTGTAATTGCAGAATGTTTGGTGATGCTGAATGTACTCATCTGCACTGGCTCAGAAAACCCGCCCCAGGTTCTTCTGCCATTATTCCGCTAGCTGTATTAATTTCAGTCAGTTGTTTGGCTTGTTAATGTTTGCACCTCTACATTATGAATATGCATTTAAAGCAGCCTAAGTTTATTTTGGTAATGTTGTATTCTTTATATAGCTTTCTTTTTTTTTAATGGTATGAAAACGAATCACTTATCAAGTCATTTGTTTATGCAATGTTTATAAATACCAGCATTTTTTTTAAAGTCCTTTAAATGTTGTGAATTTTAAGGTTTCTTATCAAAAAGGAAACTTGATTTTTTCCTTATGTTTCCAAAAATAATAAAAATGTACCATGTGCTAAGCATACAGTAAATCAACTGGATTTTAAATTTCATTAACCATTTTATGAAAACTGAAATAAACAGGAGTAGTAGAAGAGTTTAAAATACGTAAGCTTAAGTGTAATTTCTTCTTATTTTATTGTTTTTGTCCTTCATTCATTCCCCTAGTTAAAATTTTCCTAATCCAAACATGTGCTCTTATTTTCTTACTGTGAGACCTACCTCACACTTTTGAAAGGAGAGCCCACAGATGGAAAAGTTTATTGATATTTATGTAATAGGGATCCAATTCTAGAAGTTCCAGTATACTTTATAATATATTATGATTAAAAACCAGAGCATTGTATTCAGTTTTAAATCTTACTATAGTAAATAATTTTCATACTGGTAAGAAGACATCTTCTATTGTGAACATAAGAGCAAATGCTTTGTGGTTGAAGTCAAACACAGAATATAGTTTGCTATATTGCACACTGTCATTACCTGTGAATTTATATACCACCTGAAATTCATGAAGAGATGACAGTCTTATCTACTGCTTTGAACAGGGATCCTCTTCTGTTAGTCTCTTCAGGTCAGCACAAATCATTCTAGGTAAATCTACAGTGAAGACCGTACTTTGCATTACACAGAAGAAGTTATAAGTGCCTTTGATTAAGCAGGAATCAGCATTTTAAATTAATCTTTTCCTACAGGACATGCTAGTAGTATTAAATCCTACCGTGTAATATAAATTTAGCATTAAACCTTCTCCATAAATGGTATCTAAGAAAGGTACTTCCGCAGCTACTCACTGAATTATACTCAAATAACATTGTCCTAGAAACTCCCTGTTAGCATCCCTGGGATTCCAAAGAGAAATGAAACAGCAAGAATGGTACGCTAGATTAATTGCAAAATATTTGTTCTATACAGGGGAGATGCTTATGCTTGGTTTGGGTGTGTTTACTAATCACAGAGTGGATTTAATGAAAAAATATCTATATCTTTTTACATCTCCTTTGTCCAAAGTGGAAGGAAACTTTTAAGGAGTTTCCAGGAAATGTATAGAAAAATAGTTTGAATTGGAGGAGGCCTTTAGATAGACCTAAAACTCACACCTGCTCTCCTGAGAAACTAAATCCTGTTCACAGTGTCTGTGGACAATATCTATCAGGACAGACTAAATCAATTCTGAGCTCAGAATACTGCCTTAAAAATAACTGGAATAAGAATATAAATACACCTTATTCAGGAGGAACTGGAGTCCCTCCAGGATTACTGAGCCTGGTGCTGCCAGTGATGTGGATGGACAATGTAGTCAGGATTTAAGCCTGGAACAAGTCTTGATCCTGGATTTTAGTGAAAACACTCCCTGGTCATATGATATTCAGATGAAAGATAGCAGATATTTGCTACTATTCAGGTTTCCCACTCTAAAAATGCAATAAAGTGTTCACATGGCTCTTCATCTGTGTGTTCCCAGTGTAAGCATAAAAGGGATTTCATCTGTTCAGAACTGGTTATCAAATAAACCAGTTAACCAGAGAAATTGTAGAGAAACAACTCAAATCCCTAGCAGAGATAAGAATAGCTGACACACCTCACAGACCAGACAGGCTGCTGTTTTTACATCTGCAGTGTTGATTTTGACGATTTTGACAACAGCATGTGACTCTGGAAGATAGACCTGACCTGTTCTTGTATAATTTTCATGGATAGTTTTTTCAAAGGCTAGCACCCTCAATGCAAAGTTTATCACTCACCAAAAAAAGAAATCTTATCCTAGAAAAAAACATGAAGTGGATTTCAAGAGCTGTACTCTAGAAAGTCTTTGAGGCCAGTAGCCTCCCAGTCACATCATTTGCAGTGCATATCAATTGTGTATTTCCTAGAATGTACTCCCCCAATTTGTTATGACAGACTGAAGTCTGGCAGACAAAATATGGAGGAGACCATGGATTTTATCATGCAGAATACTGTTTCTGGTAATCCCAAACAAGCAGTTTGGGATTAGTATTGTTCAGAGGCTAATTGAAGGAGATGCATAATCTGGAATAGAGCCATGCTTTCCTCTTAAACCAAGGATTCCTTTCAATTCCCTGTGAGTTAAACTTCCAGTTTAGGACAAAGTGCAGTGGAAGACAGATGTTGATCTGAGTATAAGTAAATCAACCATATAAATATGTCTAAGTTATACTCCTTATGCATGACTGACACTCCAAGCCCTGCAACTGCAAGGTGAGAGTTTCATGTAGAGTGACAACTAGTGGCTTCAGGGGTTTCAGCTGTAAGAGAACTGTACCCTGCTCAGGGTAGTATGTGTTTCAGAAGAGCAAGTATCTTGGAGTCACATGAGGCCAAAAGAGTCAATTTTCTGGTAGAGAAGGATTTGGAGCTGGCCAACACAGAGAGGGTCTAATGTGAAAAGAATGGAGAAATGGGGGATTGTGTAGTGCCACTACCAAAACAAATGTCTCAAACTGGCAATAGAAAACACAGCTGTGCAACTGAATGCAAGAAATCAAATGCTCTCTCTAGACTTGCCAAGTTACCTGCCCACAGAAATATCAGGTTTTTTGGTGATTTTGGTTTTAGTGCTCAGCAGAAGAAATCTCTGTCTTCGTCTTTTAAATGTCCGAGGTGTGTTCCACAGCTTGACTCCACTACTAGAAGCTATGGGAAAACCCCCTGAATTTAAACAAATAGAAGTGGATTCCTTACTGGCTGGGGTTACTGCTTCTGCAGAGGAGGTCACTGAGCAATGCATTAAAAAATGAGGCTGTGTTGCTTTTAGGCAAGCAATAGCACAGAAATAGGAGGAAAAAAAGTGAGTAAACACATCCTCAAGGTTATGTGATATGTAATAGACACTCTGCAGAAAATAAGGATTACTACTCCTCGTGCACTGACACTGGATATCACAAACCTCTTTGATCTGGTGTGCAATAAAGACTGGCAGCCCATCTGTACATTGTTTGCTCTTTTCCTGAATCACTTGCCTCAGTGTCCCAGTGCTGGTTTCCCGGTACCCATTTGATCACAAGAAACTCATGGCAATGCCTGGCTTCTTGCCATTACAGTTTATCATAAAATAATTATAAAAGTCATATTGGTGATGCTTACAAAGTGCTTGTAAAAACACACCAGTAAGGTATTCTGCTCTCTCTGCTACCTACTCCTGTACATAGAGTGTACAAGTGCAGAATCCATAAAGAGCTTGCCATAGCCTGTGATTAATAGAAATACAGAAAATGAAATAGAAATAGAACTACAATGGCTAGAAATAAAATGGCTAGTTTAACTTCAGACACAAATTCCATCACAGGACTTGATCCAAATCCTGGGTCACATTTTCAACAGTTTTTCCTGAGATCAGGGAGAATTCACATTTTGGGCACCAGTATGTACCAGAAACTTATGGCCTGGCTAGACTTGACAATATGAACAGTAGCTGAGAAAAAGCAAACTAGGATGTTTTAGGCAAAGGGTAGCTTGATGTGATGGGGTCTGCCCTGTGAAACTCAAGGGACACAGCTCAGTTGGTCATGGCATGGAACTGTGCTGGTATTCTAAAGGCAGCAAGCTTCTCCAGCAAGCTTTTCAGTGGGGAGCTCCCAGTCCCAGAGCCATTTCTCAGCAGTGGTGTCTCCTGCCTGTGAGCACTTCCCGAGGCTGACACCCCTGAGCGGTGCAGCTGGGCAGGGCCAAGTGCAGCAGGAAGCTCTCTGCCCATCGTGCCCCATCTCCAGGGTGCCTTGTTTCCACCTACCACAGGAGATCCCTGCACTACTGCAGTGGCTTAAAGTCTTTGAACCCTCAGAGTCTTCAATTCTGGCCCCATGAGTGCCCTCAATCTCACCATGTTACCCAGCTCTCCCCAGGTGTTCCTCCTTTCTCCCTGAGCAGTGGGCTGCAGGAGACAGATACCACATAAAACATTTTTAGTCATTCAAGTTCATTTCCCACAGAAGCCAGGCCATGCTGGGTGAGCTGTCCCTGCCACGTTCCTCACTTGGCTCCTGCCATGGCCTGACAGTTCTGCACCTCTCCTTTGCACCAGAACCGGCCTGGGAGTCTGTCAGCTGGACAGGAGGACGATGAGATGCCAGCTCCAGGAAACAGATCGTGAAAATTTTCAGCAGCCAGCAGCCTGCTTGGTTTCTCTTTTCCCCTTTTTTCTTTCCATAAGGCTCATTTGCTGTTTTCAATTGCCATGTTTATTTGTTGCTGAAGCCTTGGCAGCACTTTATCTGCTGGCTCAAGTTTGTGGTAACAGTCATGACCACAGCAGTCAGATGAAAAGTGAATATTGAAATGCTGGCTTGGGTTGGAAGCATCAAAACCAGGGAGGCAAAAACAATACTGAAACCTGTCAGAGGCTTACAGCTATGAAACCTTTAAGGAGAAGCAGTTAACTGAACAGTGTGTAGGAAGCTAGGAGAGAATTGTTTAAGGATTTTATTTCTGTCCATCATATTGATTAAAGAAAACATGCTAAGAGATAATCGAAAGCAGGATGTAGTCTCCCAAAACCTTTCTTGGCAAACAATTGTTTAGCTTGATCCTTGAAATATTCCAGCAATG